ACTGAATACCCCTTAATGTGTTAAATAGTGACAAAATGTACACTACAGTGCATCTCAATTTTTTTGTTTGTTTTGATGTTACTAAGAACTCTTTTTTCTTTACACTACTAGTGCACATTGTATCACAATTAAAGTTAAATTACACCAATAGTGGCAAAATAGACTGAAAAAACTGGTAATAACTGAAATGCGTTTTAAAAAGTTTGGTTGGGATACCGCGTTGTGGAAGTGTGGCATTTTTGTTCAGTTAGATTTTAATTACGGTGAATCCATTCTTATTTTTTGGTAAGTATTATACTTCCTTTTTCTTTAAGCCTTAATACTCAATAAATACCAATATGTTAAAAGGATGTCCATCCTGACCTATATTATATATCAATAATTTACGGCAGTAGGTCGGGTTCTTGTAACATTAATATAAATACATACACGGTAAAATTTGTACACGTGTGGTAAATCCCCGACATACAGCTGCCTGACTCCTCGACCAATGGAATCACCCATTTTTTATAACAGAAAAATGAATAACTGTTGAATTCTCAAGATAATTCATTACTTACAAGTTGAAATCCAGTAAAACTTTTACTTTTTAAGGAACCATTTTGCTTAAGCCAGCCAAACGACTCAAATATAAAATTATATTTTAAAAGGCGCCGATTTTGATAAATCATAGATTTTTGTTCCAAATAAATGTTTCTCTTTATTTACCTTTTCGTTTTATTCACTACCACCAATAGGTTTTACTCAAGTAATAGTGTTAATTTACACTAGAAGTTTGCACTAAAAGAGTAAAAGTACCTTCCTAAAATTAGAACTTTTCCAAAGTAGTGTTAATTTACACTGAAAAAAAGTGGAATTTAACCCAGGAAGTGTAGAAGTACACAATTTTAGGTAAATTAACACTTTTTAATACAGTGTAAAATTACTTTATCCTCAGTGCTATGGTGTTAAATCATACTTGCTTACTTGGGGAAAATTACACTACAAATTAACTTTAATTGTAGTGTTATGAAATAACACTATTAGTGTGGACCTGTGTGAACCCTAATTAGTGTTGCTTAGAGTTGATTTTTTTTACTGGGTAAGTTAAAGATACTTTCGGTCCAATATAAAAAGTATCTAAGATAAAGTATCTTAGATACTTTTAGTATCTAAGTTACTTTTAAGTATATTTTAAAGATACTCCCAGCTTTGCTCGTAAGCAACAATTGTATATTATTACACTGTTATAAAAATCAGATTTTATAACATAAGTTTAAGTTTGTTAGTTTTATTTTATAAAATTTTAATAATTTTTTTATATAAAACCAGGGTTTGTAATTATTTTAACACAGGAAAATATTTTACCAAAGTTTTTGTAAAGGTTATATGCAATTTTGTATGCATGTTGTTAATTTCAAAGGTAACAGATTATTTTGTTAATGTTTAACAAATTATTTCGTTGAAAAAGTACACGTGATTTCAGGCAGTCAATCACAAAATTTCCCATTGACAATATATGCCTATAGGCATCAACAAGTTCAACTGACTTCAGCGTCTGCAACTTATGTTCCTGCTTACTTTATTCTAATTCGTAACGTGTTCGTAACAACTGTCCAGAGTATTAATTAATATGTGTTAATTTTGTTGTATAGGAAATTGAATAATGCAGCAACATTTCTTATCAAAATTCTTCCCAATATTCAACAAATACTTTTGTTAATGGTTCTACAAAAAGTATGTAAAAATAAGGTCCTTTTTAAAAATTACAAGAGTTACAATAGTTGAATTATTGACATAGGATTTTGTTATTAAATCTACAAAATGTCTGTAATAATTACAAACTGCTTATTATTAGTTAACAGATTACAGTTGGTTGGAAACTGAACATAAAGTTATGTGACCCTGGATTATCATATAATCTGGTTTATATTTGGTTAACCCGTAACAAACAAGTAACACATATTTTTTTTACTGTGTATTATGCATGGTTTTAATTTAAAACTTTGTTTTAAATACAAAAGTAGCAAAGAGTAGCAAAAAAACCATTATGGTTGTTGTTTATTGCATCGAAAGCAAAACTAAAATGATTAATAAATGAACCTTTACGTATTGGACCCAGAATTTACAAAATTAGCATTTCATTTGCATGTTTTTTTAAATAGGGCATTGTATTCAGGTTCAGCTGACGCTCGAAAAAATTTCGATATTCGGTAATTGACATCATAAATACAAGATCAAATCGACTTTGGCAAACAAGCAAATCCCGAGGTAGCTTCGAAAATCAGGAACCGCGCTTTAATTTGAAATTTTAATTGTGTATGAAGGTTTAAAGATGGATGGCCCGTGTATTTTGGTTTTAATTTTGAGGCTTAGTTTTGATGTCAAATATTGAGGGTGCTAAATATTAATTTTTACCCCTTCAATTTTGCGGACGAAAATTTTAACATTTGTGTGTTAAAACAAGAAAAAGTTTATGAAGGTAAAGTAAATATACATATACATACTTTCAATAGTTATGCATCACCTTTTATGTATACATGCTATAGCATTATTTTTTCCTGAAACCTATGCAAATTTTGTTCACATACGCTGTTAAAAATCAAATTTGTTAACATAAGTTTGTAGTTTGTTAATTTTATTTTGTTAAATTTTAACATAATTTTTTTGTAGGTAACCAGGGTTTGTAATTATTTTAACAAGGGAAAATATTTTACCAAAAGTTTTGTAAAGGTAATATGCAATTTTGTTAATGTTTAACAAATTATTTTGTTAAAAAAGTACTGAAAATACGCATTAACAAGTTCAACTGACTTCAGCGTCTGCAACTTATGTTTCTGCTTACTTTATTCTAATTGGTAACGTGTTTGTAACAAATTGTTATTCAGATTCCTTATACCTATTTAACGAGTGTGCAAAGTGAGAAGTATCCAAAAAAAGGTTTTTAAACTGAAATTAGGGGATACAGTGAAGTGAGTTAAAGTTACGAAATACATTAGTAGTATAGATAATTATGTTGTACCAAATTTTAATTTGATAATTCCAGAATAGTGTGTTATTTAATTGTGTGTATGTTATTTTTGTGTTCATTTATGTAGGTATGTGTTAATTTTTTTGTTTAGGAAATTAATTAATAAAGCATTTTCATTTACACTGTTCAAAATCAAATCTTTTGAAATACCTAATCAGAATTAGTTAAGGAAAAATAAGGTAATATGCTTAAACGAGTAAAGCAATTTACCTTCTCGTTTATTAGGCAGAAACTAATGCCTTAGTTCTATGGTGTATTCACTAACTTCTAGATAAATATTCATACTTTACTTAATAAACTTGTCAAATTTAAAAAGATAGGCAGATTACCTAAAAATTTAGTCAAAAAATTCAAATTTCTTTATATTCTTTATAAATATCCTGAGGAGTTTATTCCATAAGATAAGTATTTTTTGTAGAATAAAAATTTAGTAAAAAACACATTATTTAAAATTAAGGAACAATGATGAATTGCCATTTTAATAAAAAATCACATTTTTGGAAAAACTGCCATGGCCCCTTTATTTCTTCTACTTCTCAATTTAAGGACCTCAAATGTAAATATCAAATGAATAGCTTAATGGAACAATCTTAAAGGTTAACAAATTTTTACTTAGGGTAAAAATGATACTTAACATGTTTATCCACTAAGCTCTTGAAATAACAAATAGTATACTATACTATATCTTTTTATTTTTAATATAAAATATAAATATTGTGTTATTTATTTATACATATAAACTAAATTAAAATCTTCTTGAACAGTGGCGGCCCGTGACATTTCATTTTGGTGAGGCAAAGGCAGGGTTTCGCCCTCATTTAAAGGCGAAGAAATTTTTTTAAACCCAACTTAAAAAACTGACGTCGCAGTTCACAACCTATACTTAAAACTAAGTAAAAAAATTAGACTGTGGTGGGGAAGGAATCCTCTACTTTGTCAATGAAATATATTTTATTGTAAAAATGACGTTTATTTTAAATAAACCTCATTTTTGTCTAATTCATATTTCATTGTTTAGCAAGAACTACGTGAAGGTCAACAATATCGGTTAAATTTCTCACTGTAATATACATAATGACTAAATTCACATACATCACCAAGTTCAATTAACTAAACCCACAGAATAAACCACTTAAAAAAGAATCATAAAATAGACAAACTCATAGAAAAAGAATAAACAAAATATTGCGTAAATAACCACAGATTTGTTCTTTAAACAGTTTAGAATTTTATAACCAAAATAAACCTATAGAAGGAATCTGTATTATTTTATTAGTTACTGTGATGGCTACAAGATGTCGATAGTGTTAAAATATTTTTCCTTTAGAATAGAAATATAATTTCGATTAAATCGATTTATTATAAGAAAAATAATACCATTTATTATTGAATTTTGAAACACGTGTGAAGTATAATTTATCTAAAATTCCGCAACAGTGTTGCCACAACACCTGCTTATTTCCTTGGATGTAGGCGTGCCTGTCTCGCGTATGCTAATACGAGAGAAGGAAACAACTATGATATTGCATTGTAATAGAACGAGACAACAAGGCTAACGCCAATCGTGAGTCTAAATTAGTTCAGGCATGCTTCTGAGCCAATCATCTAGCTATAAATATTATTTTAAATTGCGGTCGTTTCAAATTCAAATAATTTAAATGTTGCTGGGTATTCCACGTATAAAATCAATCAATTTTATTGACTATTTCACAGTTCGTGTAATCCAAATATTTAAAATTTATAGTATATTATAGAAAGTAAAATATTTAAATTATACTTAATTTTTTAATTCTCTATGACGGGCCGCCACTGTTCTTGAACCAATTAGGTTGAATATTACTAAAAGGACTAAGTCAATTTTTAGACATTTTGAGATGCCTATTGCTATTACCAATAAAGTAGCTATGACGGATGATTCTGTGATAAATTTTTTTTGGGTAGATCGTTATTTCATTTTATATCTAAAACCTTATCAAAAAGATTGTCTCACCTGTCCTCTTTTCTGCATCTTTAAACGTCACTTCTTCTAACACGATCCCGTTGCTTTTTCCTTTCGAGTTCACTGCGAAAATTACGATTCTAAACGTCACGTCCGGTTCGAGATTGTCCAAGAAGAAAAACGGTTCGGTGAGTGACGTCATGTTGTATCTGGGTATGGCGGAACTTGTCGAGTACAGTTCCAAGACGAAATATTGCGGTAGGCCGCCGTCAAAGCCCGCTAGACAGAATACTTCGACGGAGCTGCTGGTGAGGTTCGATAGTGTGCAGTTTTTGACTGGATATGGTTTTCCTGTAAAATTGAAAAATAATATTTTGAAATTAATATTTTATGAAAAAAAATTGTCTTAACATTGGTAATATTCATAAATTTCGCGGGTTCGGAGGGTCCGGTCGTCATAAATTTTCTTTATTATATTGGTATACATGCCCCCGAAGTATGATAAAAACTTTAGCTGTTTTCATTATTAACTTTGTCTGTGGCAGCCGCTAAGGTTAGACGTTTTTTATGAGCTCGGCGATTTTTCGTTCGTTAAAAGAAATGGATCAAAGAATTTGTATCCAATTTTGCTTAAAAAATTAAATAAATTCTGTGAAATGTTAACAAAGGCCTATAGTGAGTCTGCTATAAGTAAAACAAGAGTTTACAAGTGTTATACGAGTTTCCAAGATGGCCGTGAAGATGTTGAAGATGACGAACGCCCCAAACGCACAAGCACATTAACAACCGATAAACACATAGAAAAAGTGGAAGAAATGGTTATAAACCAACAGAGAAGTCGCTTATGATGTTGGTATATCGATTGGCTCATCACATAAAATTTTTTCGAATGTTTTGGGTATGAAACGCGTGGCAGCAAAATTTGTTCTAAAATTGTTAAATTTTGAATAAAAACAATACTGTAATGATGCCCCAGCCTCCATATTCGCCAGATATGCCTCTGTCTGACTTTTTCCTATTCCCAACAGTAAAGAGAACCTTAAAGGGCCGTCGTTTTCCAAGAATAGATGACATTAAAAGCGCATCGCTGAAAGAACTAAAGGCTATCCCAATGATCGAGTTTTAGAAGTGTTTCGAGTATTGGAAGAAGAGCTGGTACATGTGCATAATATATAATGGGGACTATTTTGAAGGCGACAACATTAATGTAGACGAATAAATAAATATTTGTTTCAAAAAACGAAAATTCCCGATATTTTCTGAACACACCTGTATATATTTAATTTTACAATTATACATTATTAAAATATATTTATATATTTTTAAAACTGTAAATTACACCACAATAATTGTTTATATAATTATTTTGAAAACATGAAATAAATTAAATTTTAATTATACATAATTAAAATATATTTTTTTAAACGGTAAATTATATTACAATAATTGTTTATTCAATTATTTTGGAAACATTTAATAAACTAGATATTACATAAAATACAATTACACTTTATGCACGACCTAACATGAAAAAACTACAATTAAAAATAGCAATAATTAAAAATTATAGATTAGGTAAAATATTTTTTTTATTTATGATTTATTTATTTCATAAAAACGAAATTTAACCAAATTTAACTAAAATATTTAATTAAAAAAGTAAATATTAAACAAAACTAAAACTCAATTAATATTTTGTTGTTTATATAAAAAATTCATATTTAAAATACCTGGGAATTTTAGTATATTAAAATCAATATGGATTACAATATTTTGTACTTTTCCCGTTAAAAATTAAAGCAATTTTTATTACAAAATTCGATTTTTAAACACGTTTTACATTTTTAACGTTATAAAAATTAAACTATTTGTGAATTGTTCTATTGTAAAATTTAAATTATCAAAAAATTTAAAATTTCTAATTATTGTTATTGTTATTATTGTTATTGTTAATATTGTTTAAAAAATATCCATGGGGTTTTCAATATTTGAAAACTTTTATAGAATTTAAAATAAAAAAATAGATGAACAATTTTTTAAATTAATGATTATTTAGATCCTTACGGTTTAAAATTTTTTTAAGTAGTTTTTTAATTATTTGGACATTTTATTATGTTGGTAGCAATCCACAATAATTTTTATTTAAAAAATAACTTTATTTACAAAAATGTAATAATTTAATATTTTAAAGTAACAGTTTAAATTAATATTTAAATGGCGTAATGCAACATAAAACAAACTCAGATAATAGCGTCATAAAATGTGTGTGGTTTCTTCATTACTTTAGTGTTAATTTTATTTCTTAATTGCTAATTTTTTTTAAGTTTTTCTTTATTATTGATAAGATATGTAAATTTCTTGGTTGGTTCCTTGTTGACCAAATAAAACTAGTGATTATTTCCTATACTCTATAAAAAATTCTACTATTTGAATTAGTACCAGCATTTTTTACTAATAAAATAGTCGTTTTCACTTTTAAATAGTTATTTTTTAGTACGTAAATAGTTTAAGTTTGACTTATTTAAGATTATTCACCACCTTTGACTAATTCTGAGAGTTAAAAGTAACTAATTTATTTAATCAACAAAGCATTATTTGAATTAAATGCATATACCTAAGCTCCATGGTTAAATGACCCATAAAAACAAATAAAGATGCAAAAAGTTTAGCTCAAAACACAAATAAAATATTTAACTTTAAAATATTATAATAGTTATTTATGTCATTAGGTTAAGAAGTAAGGCTTCTTGACCGAATGGCATACAACATTTTATCTTCAAAGCACTTTATATAGGTCAATTTAATTCAACATCAAAGCGACCTAACCTCACTTTTTTAGAATCTCATTTATTTATTAGCTAAAGATTACATTAAATGTACAATGATTATTATTGCTTTTAGAAGCAGTAATAGTTTGACAATACCTAGCAAAATGATTTAAATAGAAATGGATTTTTGCTATTACATTGAATTCAATTAATTGTTTAATAAATAGGTAGGTATCTAATTTCAATTTGTTTAGATTTTTATTTAAAAAATAGGTAGTTTGGAATGTTTAAGCTGTGTTTAACATTTAATTTCACTGAAAACTTAAAGCAAATTAAAACTAAAAGATAATTTAAATCGTAGAAAAAGAATCGTGTGTTTTCTTGGTTGCCTAACCTCACTTTTTGTTTTATTATTCATATTTAATTTTACAATAATTTAATGAAAAATATTAAACATTAACAGTAAAACAAACAAATTAGTGCTTATTATAATATATTGTTTTGACTTTTCTAAGAAATTAACGTACTAAACTGGTTTAATTTATTTATAATAAATAAATTAAACCAGTTTAGTACGTTAATTTCTTAGAAAAGTCAAAACAATACCCCTAGCGAGAAAAAATCGAACTAATTACTTGCCTCATAAAAAATTTTATCTGCCTAGGTCATAACAAGGTATTTCTTTATCGAATGTTGACAACAATAAAGTTTAAATTATAGACCGCGTGGAGATAAACAATATTTATTGACAAATAAAATTGATTTTTATAAGAGCGTCTGACAGCCGAATGGGTTATGACAATAGCTTGACAAGTGACAGACTTGAGTTCAACCCCGGCTGGGTCAAAACTTTTTTTAAATTTAAATCTACTAATTTTATTTCATTTAGTTGAATTTGACTAATTATTAGTGACTGCTTTTTCGCTATGACAATTAGTCAAATATGACTTATAATTAGTTATTTTTGACTAATTCATTTTAAGAGAGTAGAGAGTTGGTGTTACCAAGCAGCTTGGGAATTTTTTGAGATTTAAAATGTGAGTTTGCAGAGTTTTGTATTATCTTCAAAAAGTGGTCCTAAAGGCCTTCATAACATTAATACTTTTTTAATTGTGAGGGTTGGTTATCTTTTGCATAACACTAATCATTTGATTTCATTGATATATATATATATATATATATATATATATATACCTATACCTACCTACCTACATACCTATAGTCTGTTCGGTGGATGTTTTACCTTGCGTTATCAATTTCTTAAGTAAACTACATTACTGTCATTCAGCGATTCTATCCCATTTTATTCTATTCTAGATTAATGACGCAAGGTAAAACATTTGCCGAACAGACTATGTATGTCGAAAAACTGGTTTATGACATTTTAAGTTGATGAAGTTGATGACCTTGATTACCTTGGTAAAACATACCAACTCGACTGTAAAAAACAGGTTTTTGACATTTAAAATTTATGAAGCAAGGTAAAACATTCGCCGGATAGACTTTAAATTAATATTAAAATATTGGAACTTTAAAAAAATGTAGAATTTCTGTTGGGCCTCTATTGGTGAGTATATTTGAAATATACATCCCATTTAAGATGAGGATGTAAACAAGTTAAGTTATTGTGTCATGTCATATAGGCTAGGTTCGCGGTTCCAATATTAGTTTCAAACAAAGACCTGGAATGAAGTTCCAGCCGAAACGTGCTGACTACAAGCCGAGAGATCGTGGGTTCGAGTCCCACATTGGTAAGGTTGTTTATTTGTGTTTGTTCTATTTTGTATTAGACCTTCGGAGGGGACTTTAAGCCCACGGTTTGTTCCAACCCCTAACCCGCTCAAGCCATTCAGTTGGCTTCTGGGAACTTAAGAAGTAAGGGTGGAACTCAAACAGCAATTGTGTAAATACTTTTGTTTTGTGTTATACTCGGTAAATCGTTTACCAAAATGCACCGTTTGCTTATGGTGATCTATCCCGAAGTACAGGAATCTATCAGAAATGTTTAGTGAAATCTCTTGAAATGTTGATGATCCTTCAGAATTACAGTACGTATATTAGGGTGTCCCTTATTTTTATTTTTTTTACGCATACCCTCTAATTATATTTATTACTTGTTTATATACTCCCAGTAAAAATTTCAGCTCATTCTATAAACGGGAACCCGTGCCGACTAAACCCTCCGTTAGCCAACGTTAGGCGCGCGCGGTATTTTGTAACACGAAACACTTTAAAAAGAAGATATACTTCATGACTGTATTTTTCTAATGATTTTATTAAATATGATTACTAATTAATATTAGTGCTTTTGTTTCTATAATTTGTTTCACTAATTTAGTTGATTTTATCCCTTAAATATATTAATATACTAATTAGTATTGCTAAAATATACTGTTATATGAAATTTCAGCTTTTTATAAGCATTTCTTTTCTTGATGTCCTCCCAAAAATATTTCAGACAGTTCAATAAGTTTTCGGTAGTCATCTCTCACAATAGACTCTTTTAGTTATTTAGAGTAAAACCCATTAAATTGATAATTTCATAGTTTACGGCCTATTCACCAGACCCTTCCGGGTCCACTC